ATAATGTACGGCATACGAAGTTGAAAGAGGGTGGCGGTGTCCGTTCCTCCAAGGGGTGCCACTGGAAACTGCTCACTTTGTGAGCTGAGCCGACCACGGACATTCGAATGCAGGCGACAGGCCCCCGTGACAGGCCGGCCTACGAACACCCACGTCACATCACAAATGTCATGTCGCTATATGAATCTCGAGATAATGCTACGGCGTCCGCGGGAGCCGACGCGCACTCGCAAAGCCCGGCGAGTGTGAAAAGTATGCGAGGGTCTCCGGTGCAAGGACGGCATCGGGGGGCAACTAGGCTAGTCCAAAAGCCATGCAACGTATCGAAGACCCGCGTTGCAACATTAAATGTTGGCACGTTGACGGGCCGCTCCAGCGAGCTGGCAGAAGCGCTAGAGCGCCGACGAATAGACTTCTGTGCCGTGCAGGAAACGAGGTGGTCCTGCTGCAAGTCGAGGGACATTGGCCGCGGCTTCAAAGCCGTTCTCTGTGGCGGTCCCAAAACCACCAATGGCGTCGGGATGATTGTCTCTGAACGCTTTCGTGATTCGATAGTAAACGTGGAGCGCTTCGACGACCGATTAATGAAAATCATTGTCGTCATTGAACAACGAAAATACCACTTCTTCTCAGCGTACGCTCCGCAGACCGGATGCTCCGAACAAGCCAAAGATAAGTTCTGGAATCTGCTTGATGAGAAGACAGCTGAGGTTCCGTCACAAGAAGCTATAATTGTCGCAGGTGACCTCAATGGGCACGTTGGCGCTACGAAAGACGGTTACAGCTGTCACGGTGGTTTTGGATATGGGTCACGTAACACTGATGGCGAGCGAATTCTCGAGTATGCAGACTCGCACAACCTCGCCATTGTGAACACGAAATTCCGAAAACGCGACTCACATCTCATCACCTTCTATAGCGGTAACACCAGAACACAAATTGATTTCGTACTTGTCAGGCGCCGCGACCAAGGACTCGTAACAGACGCGAAAACAGTGCCTTATGAAACGGTCGCCACGCAACACCGACCACTAATTTGTACGCTAAAGATCGCCCCGCCGAAACCGAAACTAACCGAAAGGTGTGGGCCAGCGAGAATCAAGTGGTGGCGACTGAAGGAAAAAGAAGCGGCCGTCATTTCCCGCATTCAATTACCAGCGGTAACGACTGTCGACGAAACCTGGAAAGGTGCTGCCGAAGAAATAACTCGGATAGCTCGATCCGAGCTCGGGATGACGAAGCCGGGGCGGCGGAGAATTGACAAGCAAACGTGGCTGTGGACGGACCAGGTCAGAGAGAAAGTGCGCGAAAAGAAGAAGCGGTACCACGCATTTCTTCACGAAAAGACAGCTGAGAACTGGCGGAGCTATCAGATAGCGAAGAAAGAGGCAAAGAAGGCCGTTGCTTCTGCGAAAGCAGCTCATTTTGCTGATATCAGTAAGAAACTCGAGTCGCGCGATGGAGAGCGGTACGTTTACCGACTTGCAAAGACCCGCCATCGCCAGACCGAGGATATAGAAAAATTCTTCGGCATAAATGACGAGAATGGCCACCTCTTGACGGACCGCAAGAAAACACTGAAACGATGGCGTGACTACTTCGAAAACATCTCAACAGTCGAATTTACTCATCCCGCCATCCCCTGCGCTCCGCCAGTACACGGTCCCGTTCAGAAGATAACCGTGGAGGAGACCATCACGGCCATGAAGAAGATGAAATCAGGCAAAGCAACTGGCCCTGACGACTTAGCGGCAGACTTGTGGAAATCAAAATGCTGGAATCCTGCAGAATGGTTGACGGAGTTCTTCAACCAGATCGTTGCAGAGAAGAAGGTGCCTGAAAGCTGGCAACAAAGCACGACGATTCCTATCTGGAAGAAGAAGGGCAGTCCAGGAGACTGCACTAGCTATCGTCCAATTCGCCTGCTTTCGCACAGCATGAAAATCTTTGAGCGAGTTGTAGATAGCCGTATCCGGGACATCGTCGAGCTGACCACCAACCAGTGTGGTTTTGTGGCTAGTTGCAGCACTATCGATGCCATACATGCCGCTCGCCTTCTGCTAGAAAAGCATCGCGAGAAACAAAGACCGGTGCACCTTGCCTTCCTAGATTTGGAGAAGGCATTCGACCGCGTTCCGCGGGACGTTATATGGTATGCCTTACGACAGCATGGCGTGCCTGAAGAGCTCGTCGAGTGGGTGCGCATCCTTTACTCGAGTCCAAAGAGCCGAGTGCAAACGGCAGCAGGAACATCGATGGATTTTCCCATCTCTGTCGGGGTACATCAAGGCTCTGCGTTATCCCCACTCCTATTTGTTGTCGTCATGGATGCCATTACGAGAGATCTCCAGAAGCCGGCTCCATGGACACTTCTTTATGCTGATGACGTGATGCTCGCTAGCGAAGATAAAAGCACGCTCGAGCAACAGGTGCAAGCCTGGTCCGATCCGTCTAGCTATGTTCGGGCTCAAGCTGAACGTTAAGAAAGACTGAGTACTTGACCACCGATTCGAGTGAGTTAGGCTCTATTAAGATCAATGGTACTGAACTCACTCGTGCAACATCATTCAAGTATCTTGGATCAGCAATCGCGTCTGACGGCAGCCTGGTCTTCGAAACGAATTCTCGCGTGAATGCAGCCTGGTCGAAATGGCGCTCGATGACTGGCGTTCTCTGCGATAAAAACATGCCAGAACGTCTCAAATCTAAGATCTATAGGACCGTCATCCGGCCGGTCGCGATTTACGGTGCTGAGTGCTGGCCTACGACTAAAGAGATCGAAGCACGGCTAAGTGTGATGGAGACCAAGATGCTGCGATGGACAGCCGGAGTCACACGAGTAGACCACATCCGAAACGATGTCATCAGAGAGCGATTCGGGGTGGCTCCAATTGTCGACAAGATGCGCGAAGCCCGTCTTCGATGGTATGGTCATGTCCTTCGCGCGAAAGATGACAGTGTCTGTAAGATCGGTCTCAACCTTGACGTGCCCGGAAAGCGGCCTAGGGGGCGCCCGAAGCAGCGATGGCTCGATACATTGCACGTAGACTTGAAGTCAGTTAATATCCACCCCGATCAAGCATTTAATCGGGAAAAGTGGCGTCAACACATAAGAAAAGCGGACCCCGCTTACAAGCGGGACAGACGCTAAAGAATAAGAAGAAGAAGAAGAAAAGACACACTTGCGTTTGAGCATCACCCACACCCCTAACGGCCCAATGGAGACGTAGCTAATACCATTAACTTTGGACAGCTAATGATTGCTGTCTCCGTGGTCGTCGCGCTTTGCATTATGTAGGATATTAGCATGATAGCTCATGTGGACAGCAGGCTCAGAGGTTGGAGCACGCATGCAGAAACCCCTAACAACTTGAGCCAAAGGTATGCGTCAAACAGGCCTTCGTACGCCAATGCAAGCTACCATGTTCTGCAATCTCATATATACATGCAAAAAAAATGACTTGAAAATATTTTTGGCAATCGAAACCCCAAAAGAATTGGTGGGAAAGATATAAATAGATGATACCGCCGCTTTTGCTCTTTGCTCCGCTTCCTGTTTTCGCTTTCTTGCGCGCATTGCTTGCTCCTCCAGCCTCTTCGCGCGCTGTTTCTTCTTCAAGGATTCCATTTGTTCGAACTCTTTGATCAATTCCGGGCAATGCTGAAGCAGAAAACGTAGTTGCACTCGGCTAAACAAATTGTTATACACTGATATACATGGCCAAAACCTGGGTCTCATACAGTATGGGAGCATGTGGTGCGACAATTCATATTCAAAGTGACTCATTCCCCCGTGGAAATGAGAAAAAATGAAATCCTCCGGGATGCTGCGGAGGCAGAAGCGGAAAAATTTGCGCGACCCAGGGATCCCCCTGCAAAAATTTGAATATTTGGCAGGCGACATGTCTCACATCACATACCCTCCCTTATTGTATGAGACCCAAAGTTTTGCATACTAAAAGGAAAGGCATACTCGCAAATTTTGCCATAAGTGATAAAACTATGGTAAGCATCAATACATACCATGTCCTCCTCATCAACGAAATTCTCAGGATCTGACGATGTCTCATATCCAACCCATTTGATATGGTAGACGTATTTCCCTTCCGCATTCACCTGTCAATGAATAATACGAGATCCCACAAAACCCCCTCTTTTACAACAACATACAGAGTGACCACAAATTACGGTAACAAGATGAAGTAGCCATGGAGAATTTGTACAACTAAAAAAAGACAAGTTGGGAACAAAAATATATGTACTTATTGAAGGTTACCAACGAAAAACCATATTCTCTTAAAAGTAGCCACTATCCGCTTTGAAAAAAGAACGAAGTCTTCAAGTGCATGAGCTGACCGCGACGTGTTGGTAGACGGCCACGGGTGCGTTCCAGGCATTATGAACCAGGAACATCTTTTTAAGGTCTTGGTGACTTGTGAATTCACTGACGCCTCCATGATGTTAGCGGTAGGCGCTCGTCTTCACCATACTTCGTGCAGCGGAAACAGCAGATTTAAGTGGGGAGACTACGCGGCCACTTTCCAAACGCAAAGACCTCTGGGCAGCTCATCCGGGAAGGCCTTCGCGGTAAGTTAATAATGTGCAGGGTTCTGCAGAAATGTCCAATGATGTTTTGATTTCTTCTGAGGCTTTCCTTGATCGAAGGAATTCTTGAGTATGAAAATTTCAAGATGATCCTTACTCTACTATTTTATGCTTTACGAAACAATGGTCAAAGGTGTCCTGATTTCAGAGTTATCGCAGCAAAAACCTGCACTATTTCCGGATTCGGTAATGTCTGTGATATTGAGCTTTGGCTGTTCCTCCCAATAGAGCCTTTGTCGCTATATCTATTCCAGATTAACTCGACTGTGAATACTTTCTCATCAGTGAAAATATCGGCAACACAATTGGCTCCGTCCGCTTCACTTTCTTTCCAAAGCTGGGCTTTTTCACGATTATTTGCCTTCGCCAAGGAATGCCTTCTGACGAGTACCTACCAAGTAGTGCATGGGCTCATTAACATGGGCTCATTTTCTTATAGTATTCTTGGTAACAACAGAAATTTCTCTTCCACGTCTTGACCAGTCGTGCCTAGCACCAAGTCGATGAATCTTCGCAATGATGTTTGTTGTAGACTTTCCCATGATTCTGCTTCGCTTTGTAATGCAGCACCACCATACACCTTGACGAATTGATTATTCCATGAAGAGCTAAGGGTTCGAACAATAAACTAAATGAAAACCAAAAGATACAATTAGAGAATCGTATCTACACAACCATATACGCAAGAGCCACTTTCAAAACTCCATCCATTTTATTTTGAACTTGTATGCGGTACGCTCTTGATCTCATTCCATTCCGTAACATTCCTTTGTTCACAAACTCCTCCTTTTATATATGCATGTATATGTTACTAATGAAAATGCCTCAATTACAAATTGATAAGAAAGATATCACTAAAAAAGTAAGACGTGGGCTAAACTTTCGCCCCAGCTCAAGTTAAAATTGGTAACATCTAATGGAGCTCCAGCCTTGCGGAGTATCCGCCGAGAGGCTAACGTTCATTAACGCACAGACGGTAAGCGGGTCAGAGTGCCGACGAATCCGTCTACCGCGATTTTGCCGTCGATTTGCGTGATGTCGCCGGACGGAACTTGAACGATGTGAACACAGCGATTGAAGCACGAAAGAAGACGCGAAGGTGTTGCTAATCCTGCTGCGAATTCTGCTTGACATACCAGCGATTGGAACACGAGATGGTTTGTGGTTCTACTTGTTTCATGTTCAATGTCTATTAGTTCATTGAAATGCTCTTGAATCGTTCCTATTTTTTTTCAGGAATCAAACAAACCAATCACAAAAATTGCAAGTGCCCCATTTGAACAATTGAAACACTGGATAGAAACAAGTGTGGAATCATGAGCAGTCTCCATTAAACCATGCGCATCGAGCCAGCAGAGCGACGGTCCGGGAAATATGGAGACACAATAGGCTTTCGGCCTGCGATAGGGCTGCTGCGCGCATGTGATTTCCAGATGAGCACCGTCGCGCAAATACGTACAATCGTGCAAATCGCGAAAATCGCGCAAAGGATCGCGGACTCTGACATCAGCCTAAATGATGAAAACCTTTCCATCAAAGTTGGAGTAAAGTGCCGAGTTGGAGTAAAGTGTTGCCCTAGAGTAGCGCCCCTAATACAACAATGTAGAGTTGCGCGGAAATGCAAGAGAGATCTGGAGGCGGCCAATGGTCTACCTCTCCGAACAGAGAGACGCCCTCCCTGGTAAGGTATACTTTCCGCCGATTCTCGTCGGAATGTCCCGGACTGCATGTCGATCACGATATCTCCCCGAATGCATGTCGATCGGGGAGATATGTCGGAGAACCGGCGGACGTGGCCTTTCCCCGAGTTTTCAGGAAAAGCATACCTTACCAGGGAGAGGTCTCCCTCCAAGGGTGAATAACGGTCGAGGATTTCCTCGACCATAGCTCTCTACCATGCGAGAGTAGTGCCGAGAGTGAACATCCGCGCGGAGAGCACAGACGGCACGCCCATGGCGAGTGTGAATGTCCGCGCGAGAGATCGTGTCTGATCGGGCAGAGAATCCTCGACGTGCCGTTGAGGAATCCTCAAGCGATATTCACCCTGCTCTCTCCTGTTCGGAGAGGCATACCTTACGGCACCTGGGTACGAATCCCCAGCTGGGGCGAAAGTTTTGCACATAACTCAGCATTCTTGTGATAAGGTTCGTAACGCGAACTGCGGGGTAAAACAGCACATATCCAATAAAAACAAGTAAAGGATGATATAAAACTCTTAATTTGCATACCAATGAGATTGAACTTGAAATGGAAGCTACTCACCGTTCGCGAAATAATACGCTCGACCTCGAACTGTTCCTCTCTGCAAACAGTGTCTTTTAAAGAAGATATGAAGTAACAAACAGAAGAACTAACTCTGTTTCAGATGAAATTTCGTCAAGAATTTCACTTGAGACGTCTGATGGCGACGGTGATGGAAGCGCTCTTTCTGTGTTCTCACAATCTGAGGAGGACTCTGAATCTGACGGTGATGGGAGGACATCTTCGATATTGATGTTCTCATCATCAGATTGAGCCCGGCTCATTATGTCAAATTCAGCATTCACCGTGACATCCTCAACGGCTGCAATGGCAAAATTTGTGCGAGTTCATGATATGATTAAGCCGAAGAAAGCACAGATAGTTTTGTAATTAAAAGTAAAACTTCAACGAGGTCTTTTAGGAAATGCAGTACTTCAAAAGACATTAAATAAGGTACTTTTGGAGAGTACTATACACAAAATTGCAGCCCTTTCGGACAAAAAATGTAATGTATATTATTCTTTAGTCGCTGCATGTTGGCGCGTTCCGCCCGATCAGGACCCCTTCAGGACCTCTTGTAGTGGTACGTGCACATTGTATCATTGTATGAGCTCACTTAGAAGCAGTCAATTGCATAAACTCAATCAAGTCAAATCAGTCAGCAAATGATAAGTTTCATTCTAAATGCAATATCAAGAAAGCCCAGACTCATTAAACCGCTAATCCTTTCGGGTGTTCTAAATAATGGTGAATGTAAATAAATGATAAGCCTTAGCTCCTCACTTATGTAAACAGGCATATTTCATTTTCATTTTGAGACTGACAGCAATCCTATTCACCGCTAAATTATCTGAATTCAAGAAGAATGCTGGATGTTTACAGTTGTGAGATAATTATGCCAGTTCAGCTCCAGACGTTATCACGCGTATTCTCGATGGACTTCAGCGAAACTGGGAAAGGTCTAACACATTCAATAGTGAGGTGGCTAATGGAGTACCTCATGCTGATATTCCATGGGTCTTTCAGTTTCACTAAAGCCTGCCGTGTGATGCGCGCGATAGCGGGCGGAGCAAAACTGGTAATAAATAAAATGATATTCGGAGTGTGTTCACCTTAGGGACGAAAGCGACTTTTTCGCGTTTCGCAGCGCGAACCATTTCTCGCTGCGGGAACCTCGAGTCCGCTGATTTTTCGCTGCGGGAACCTCGGGCCACTGATAATTGAAGGTGGACCCGAGGTTCCCGCAGCGCAACGCGAAAAAATCGCTTTCTGTCTCAATGAACCCACACTAATGTCAACGAGGAGAAAAAACTTTTTCTTCCTCATGAAATAGAATTAGTTCACTGTTGCATTCACCAGATTGGCCAACGAAATTGAAGAACACGGGAGTGATCATTTTGTACTCCTACTGACTAGTATAGGGCGCCATTCGTTGCGGGACCCACTGCCTTAACCCGCGGGGATCCCATGTGATCGCGGTTGAATTCGAACATTCCAGCTTCTCACGCATGTCAAGTGTCTGCCCTCACCCCCCACCCCCCTAGACTGGCGACACTGCCCCTGGCTCACGGATTCCCCGCTCCACATTGAAGGGTTCACTGTAGCAGGAGGCAGTGGGACCCGTAACGAATGGCGTCCTTTACTAGTCAGAAGGAGTACAAAACGATGCGTTCCGAAACTACATTTCACTTCGAACACATCATATAAACTAGATACTCTAATGCTAGAATCTCCTCTAGGCGGGTCAGAAACTGAATTGTTAGGGGTAGGGAATACCTAACATCCGAAAATTCAGTTTCTGATTCCATGTTTCCACTTATTGTCTAGGAGTGGCGTTCTCCCTAGCGCCATCCGCCGTCTGAATGTGGCAGCCATTAGCGGCGCAACAATCAAAGGCTGAGCGAACAAGGCTTCATACAGGTGGTCTAGTAGAGACCTTTTCATTGTCTTTTAGAGAACTTTTTCACCTGCTTTCTTTGCTACTCGTGATGTGATATATGTCTTGGCATTAGCGCATGTTTACATGCATTAAATAAATAAATAAATAATAAACAACTTCATAATGGCCATCCACGCGGAGGGCATTAGAAGAATTTGCCACCAGGAGAATGATTAATGCTGGTCGGCAGCGTCTAGCAGGTGAATCTACTCTCCCTAGGAAGTCGTTTAAAATTGAACCGATCAGAATTATATAGTGCTTTTGAACTTCGTGTTCTGAAGGCGATGATAGCAGTGAGCACCTGCTTGCTTATTATGTGAGGGAAATCTCAAAAATACTTCGCTGAAATTCCATTAACATGGGCACAATGCGGAACAAAACGTTCGCTGACGTCCACCATGGATGGAGCTTTTTTGTCCCCCACCCCCTCCTTGTGCAATTGAAGCGGACGAGGAAGCACGGCTACGTTAAATTGAACTTTCCGAGTTGCCCATCGTTGATGAACACCTCAAGGTGCGCTCAACGTTAAAGTGAAGTGAGATCATAGTACGCAATGACAAAACACTAAATTTGATTTGGAAGAAATGTATTTGAAGTTTCTGAAGAAAGTGAAGAGGAGTTAGAAAGTGCCTTGAAAACGTACGTCGCTCGACGAGATTCCGGAAGATGTTGAAGAAGTATTCGAGGTGCTCCTTAGTGATATTCGCAAGAGAAGTGCTTGTGCTCACATCATTTGGCGTTGGATCCCGAAATTCAGCAATCTTCAAGAGTCTTTTCATTGAACGATCAACATCCTCCTGAAAGTAGCTTACTTTACAGGAAAAAAAACCGGCCTATTTAAGCCATTCATGTCTGAGAACTGTCGCACGTGATAAACCTAAAACCGGAAAGAATGTGTGCGCCAAGGGCGCTTTTATCCCGCGCGGTAGTGGAATGTGCGCCACGTATTAACACGTTGACGACAACGCGCGTTTTGGGTTTTTGCGCCGCGTGGGACCACGGCGATTTTGCAGGCGCCGCCGCCTCACATCAAATCCGTGAATTTTGAGCTTTAAATACCCAAAACTCGGATGCAACAAAATGTTTAGAATGATATTCGATGTGTCAAACTTATCAGAAGGGACAACTGTAAAAATCGATCGAATTGACGTTTTCTGGCGATGAAAAGGCAAGTTTCAGTTGCTTTTGCTGTAGTGAACCTCAAAATTATTTTTGACGCGGTTGCTCCACTAAAAACATATGTCTTGCTATATGTGTGGGTCTGTACTTACTTCTACTGCTCTTTTTTATGACCAAGATTATCAGAATATAAAGGAAACTAGGAATGAACACAATTGGGAAATTCGTAGGGCTTAGAAAACCTTCGCTAAAAAGGAGCATATTCAACCATTCAATGAACCTCGCCGTGTCTAGTCATATTATGGTGTAGTCTATAGAATAGATGCAAAAAATTAGAAAAGAAGTAGCGCATGCGCGAAAAAAATAAATATTTTGTGTGTGCAGCGCATGCGCTGCACACGGTCCCACACGGTGCTCAAGGTGTGATGCGCATGCGCTGCACAATGTCGTCAACGTGTTAAAGGGTTGGCCCTACACGCCTGCTTAGGCTGGTGTCAGAGTCCGCGATTTTTTGCGCGATTTTCGCGATTTTCGCGATTTTCGCGATTTTCGCGATTTTCGCGATTTTCGCGATTTCGCGATTTTCGCGATTTTCGCGATTTCGCGATTTTCGCGATTTTCGCGATTTTCGCGATTTTCGCGATTTAACAACAACGTGACGTGGCCCG